TAATGACGTTAGTTTTAGTGTAATAATCACATTTTTCTTTGGGCTTTCATAAATAATATTTATACTTAAGTTACATTATGATTACTATTAGTTGAATCACACGACAAGATGCGTCATAAGATTTAAAAAGTATACTTTATTAGTATATTTATTTATTCATTGAAATGTGCATAGTGTATACATAAAACTAATGTAATTAAAAAAAATAATTAAAACAAACCATCATTAAAAACATTAAAATGAATACATACAAAATACATAGGGAGGTAAAAGGTATAGTTTAGAATATATTAAAAAAATTTCAAGTAACTTAGTCTAACAAAAAATAATAAGTAATAGAAACGTTCCCCTGTATTAATATAGATATTAGTAATTAGTGAAATAGGTAGTGATCGTGAGAAGTAAAATTTATGAAAGTTTAAATCTGACAACAATAACCAACTAAGAATTGTAATAAATTGAGAATACTTGTAAAAGTTATGTAAACTGAAATATTTTACAATAATTGATCACTTGACGATTAGTGTCTTTAGGGGGACGTAATTGTTGATCCAGCCTACTTGTACCTACTTTGTTGTGTATTACGATAATTGTAAAATCGGTTACAAATTATTCAAATTTTTAAAGCTCGTTAATTACCTTTACATTTATTTTACCTCATGTTTTTGTTTATCTTTGTGCAATTATGCATCTTTAAGATAGCGGAAACTTTGAAGTTGATGGTAAAAAAATAAAAAATAGGGGCCACATTTTAGGCCAAGACGAACCAACAAGTCCACTGGTTATTAGAATCCCACGAGGTAAAGCATATTATACATAATATATATAAATATGCTGGGTGATTCATTAATGATAAGACGCTTGTTTTCCTTAGTATAATCACAATTTTGTAGTTTTTCTTTTGGAAAATATTTTTGATACTGTAATTTTGTGTTATACTGTCATTATTGTCATCATATTTCACAATATTATAAAAATATTAAATATTATCCTTTTTTAATTATTTTCCATAATTCTGTCAACTATTAAAAACTTAATCAATAGTAGCGTATGTACTTAATTTATTATTTAAATGACGAATAATTTTCTGAATATTTAGATACGGTCGATAATCAGCTTTGTACAATCACTTTTGGAGTAATTTAACTTTAAAAAAAATTAGGACGGAAGGAAGAGTGGAGTGAAATATTATTTTTACTACTCTACCGTACTACCTACAATTCTGTGAAAACACCGAGCTGTGGACAATTTTAATTTAATTTTATATTATGTAAAAAAACACAAACGTAAGTGTCTGGAATTATATTTTTTATTTTTTTTTTATTTATTAAAGAGTATTTACAATCTATGCTGCAAGGAATAATAAAGCAAATAGTTACATTGTTATATATACAATAGACAGGGGAAAAAAATAAACAAATAGAAACGGTGATTTGGTATGAGGAGGGAGGCTATCCAGTGATAGAAACCCATTGTGATTTTTGTTCTAATTATTTTTAATTAAGATTAATTTGAATTATTGTAATTAACAGATCTCGACAAAAAAGTATTCGGAGTCGGCGATGTGGATTTCGGGGAGTGAATTAGAAGCAAGTTAAAATATTTAAAGGGTTAGAATGAGTGTGTATTTGGAGTGAAATTTTTTTGAAGTGTTTTATGGCTAAATGGTTTATTGGTTCTATTTTTAAAGTCATTTTGAAGTGTGGAGTTTATACATACCATGGGGCGGAAGAGATAATCGTAGAGTGTAGATTGGAAAGTTGTAAGTACGAAGTTGGGATGGTTTTGCACATCCCCAAAATTTGGATTGCATTTATGCCCAAATAGGCCTTAATAGGGATTTGTATATAATAATTTTAGTGTGGAAAGGTATTTTTGATTTAAGGATTGGACGTTGTAATTGGAGTCTGCTGTGAGAATTTTCTTTTGGATTTAATGTGGGAGCCCCAAGTTAAACGTTTGTCGAGTGTGACACAAAGATATTTGACTTCCGAGGATATTGGAATAAGTATCCTTGGAATTGGGGGAATTATAATAACTAAAAAATGCGATTGTCTTAAGAGAAAATGAGTGTCTTATCTTTAATGAATCATTAGATTTGTTTAATGTAGTTAGATTAATCGAAAATTTTAGAATAACAGGTTTTGGTAAAAATTTAAGTACACGTAGTACAGTGTAATAAGTAATATAAGGTGTTTAATACTGAAAACGCATTGTACTTTTCCTAAAGGTCTAAAAAGTCCAACTAAGTTGGACTTTTAAATTTGAATGGTTACATATACATTTGATTATATGTTAAAGAAAGTATATTTGCCGAAATGTACTATGTAACATAATATTGTGGAAATTAGTGAAATTTATATAAAGAGTCGAACAAACGGTGGCATTAGTTGACAGTTATCAAAACTATACTTTTGAGACAGCCTTTTTTTTGTTTTTTGATACAGCTCTGATGGCTCAGAACACCAATTATAACATTATACGATTGGGTGAAAATATATACAGGGGTGTCCCACAAAGATTTGACAAGTGAAATAACTTTTGTCTAATTAATATGACACTAGAACAGTACATCCGTGATGTTTATAGCGCAATAAGTATAAATTAAACTAAAAAAAATCTTAAGAATATTTACTAGAGCAGAAGTTATTTTAATTGTCAATTTCTTTGTGGAACACTGCATAATGGGCAATTTGTTGATTGTGAAATTTAACCTATGTTTTTTGAATTAAACTTAATAAAAGTTGTTACAGTAAATCAATTTGAATACTAGGATCTTTATTGTATTAATTGATGGAAAAAAATGAGAAATTGAAGAAGTGAAAAAACAAAATAATAAATGATTAAATGAAAACACACAAATAGCCATTAGCGGTTCACATTTGTTGAATTTTCAAGTACAATTTTTGATCGTCTCTAGAAATATTTATTGGCATTGGATGTATATTGATATTATTTTTCTCGAAAAATATAGCCGTAACAGTTCAAACTTTAAAGCTCGTTATGGTTTTTCAAATTTTAACAAAATAAAATAAATATATCAAATTAATGTAAATAAAAATATTTTCAAATCATGATGACTTCCTTCGGTAAAATTTTCAGGTCTTAAGACCTAATTATCTAAAAGGCAAAAAAAAGAAAAAGTTTCCACCTTTTCTAGGGAAAAGGGTTTTGTTATTCTTATTTTGTCAACGTTTATCGGTAGTCGTACTAAAATACTTTATACAAATTAGGAACTATTTTCGACTATTTTTAAAAAAAAACTTATAGAGACTATAACATTAAGTTCAAAAAGATGTAAACTTTTTGGGTGTTTTTCTTGTTTTTGAAGAGGATTTTTTGCCCACTTATGTACATTTAGGTTTCGATATTGTTATAGTGTTGATAAACGAAGAAATCGGTCCAGCGGTTTAAAAAAATATCGTGGGTCTTAGCAAACAAAAAAAAACACATATTGTAAATCAATCCCTTCTCAGTCCACATCGAAGCTAAAAAAACAATGAAATCATTCTCAAATAATACTCTTTGAATCAAACCGTAGATAGTATCAAATATTGATATAAATCATTGTTAAGGTAATAATGAGTTAAAATTATAGTTAGAGCATTACAGTCGTATTTATAAATAATAATAGTCCTAATTATTAATTAGAATGGAAATGATAAATATTAATTGGAGGAACTAAATAAATTATGGCCCAACTTAATGTTTACAAGAACAAATTCGTATTTAGTTTTTTCAACTTAAATTTTGTAATCTTAATAATAATGCCAATTGTCACTTTTATTCTATTAAAACCATTTGCTACTATTACAGAAATAAATAAATAATTGTTTTATGAACAAAAATCTAAAGTATTCATTTTACTTCGAATGTTAACACAAGAAAATTTAATGATGCTATACATGCTATTGATACAGTGAATGCATTATTTAACAATCAGTTCTGTTTTCGGTTTATTCGATTTTAACCATAATGGGATTTGTAATTTTCTACTTTTGACCAACTAAAGTACCAACCACATACGTTATAAAAATGATAGATATATTAATCGAGTAGGTTAGTTTACGGGGAAAAAATTATCGTGACTTTAGACTAGAAAAAATCTTGACAAAACCACTACGGTAAATTTACGATCAATCGGTATAATTTGGCAAAAAATGTCATAAACAATATTATTACAAACCAATAACTCAGTACATAATAAACAATACATAGACTCAAATTATTCTTGTATCCAATGGTCAAAATATATTATTGTATTCAATAAAATAATTATATTACACTCGGTTTATATTTATTTAAATTATAATTTTATAATTGTGAATGTTGTTATTATATTTAACATTTTCCTGATTGTTTTAGTCTAAACATTCGGACTTCTATCTGTAAACATTAAACTAATCGTAAACTTACCCTACACTAAGTGTAAACATAAGCCCCAATTGTGGAAACACTGTCTTTATGAACAATTCAATTTTTTCATCGAGTTGCATTTCAATACCCGTTTGCGTTTTTTTTAACATTATCTGTGCGATTCCCTGTTAATATGGTAGACATCTGACAGTTTATTTTATTTAGTTCGTTTTTCATTTTTGACAAATTCTCCATGAAACTTTTCATTTTTATAAATAACTGTTCCTCAAGGCACACGTTCTCATTTTTGTTATAAAAGTTTGTCCCATAGAAATTTGTTATTTCAATAAAACTATTGAACATGGTTAGGGATTTTCGAAATATACATATTTGTGGTCAGAGGAGATAACATTTGAAAATATAAATTAGCGGCTTTCATGTACTGTATAACTGGATCGCTTTTTTTGACTGATATCACAAAGGATTCGACAAAGACATATTTTACCTCAGGTATCATTCCCAAATTATAGATTTCTGATAAAGACGTGTAGTATAAAAATAAGTCATTTAATATTTCAACAAAGTAAGCGCTCATCAGGTTGTAGACGAGACGAATTTTATTGTTAATATTGTGCTTGTCGACTTCAGTGGAACAGATTTTTAACACCGTATTGCGTATTACCCTAATAATCCTCAAGTGATGCAAATAAAGTGCCCAGCCAGGCTCTTTTAGTATCATTTTTATTTGGTGAACTCGAGATTTAGAGTCGGTAATTTCATTTAAAACGGTAGCTTTTGATTCCGTTTTGAAACCCAGGAGTAAGTAATCCATTTCTAAAAACTCTTTTATTGCGTTTTTAATCAAAGGGTATATAATGCCCATTTTATCGACATGGCTGATCGCCTTGAAATATATTTCGTTAAGTTTTACGTCGACCGTGCTTAACCTGGAATCGCCAAATTTTTCTTTTAAAAGCGCCGCTGGACCACAGAAGTTTTTGAAAAAATTGATAGCGATTATTTCTAATCTGCAGAATTCCATTATAATTTTGTCTAATTTGTAATTAATAACAACGTCAGCTCCAACATTAGGTAAGCTGAACGGTTCGTACAAGTTACTAAATTCTTCCAGGATATCGAAAAAGGCGGTTTTTAACTCGGTTTCCGTAGTTAAGAAACTGAAAAACGATAGCGCACCTTGCATGCGCGACACAAAGGTTTCCGGGTTGAATAGCTCCATAAACTTTTGCAGACATTCCTGTTGAATGGAAGAGTCCATAAACGTGCATGCTGTGCCAAGTCTGTATAAATATGTTTGATATATTAGAAAATCAATAGTGTACTGGCAACTCAGTAAAAGTTGGACTTGTCGAACTTTAAGAACTACGCTTTGGACTGTTATCTTGATTGGTCCTGCGGTATCGTGCCCAAGCACTTCGTTTATTTTGTACCTTCCACTGACGTCGACGATTTCCAGCGGAGGCAAACCACGCCATCCCGGATAACTCAGAAGTTCGGTCATCTGGGTTACGGGGTGTTCCGCAATCGAATCAAATACCATACTGCTGCATAGTACAAGAATCATCAAACCGCTTAAAAAACGTTGATTTAGCATTTTTATATTTTGCAAAAATTTAAATCTCGAGTAACTACGAACTTTGAACAAATCACTGAGAACCGAACAATCCGGATAGTTATCTAGGTATGAAAAATGATTGTACGTGTTGGACTAGTTTTAGACCTTTACGCATATTATCGCGAATGTGTATAATGAATATATTTTGTACACAAAAACAGTCAAAGTAAACACAAACGGTATGTTTGAACTTTAATTCGACTGCTACTCCACCTCCTCATCGCCACCTATGACCACCACCACCGACCGTATTAGATTATCGTGTCATGCTGCTTCAACAATTGCCTCTGTATCGATTGTTTTTATTTTCAACGCACCGTTTGTTTTTGGATTTTATGGAACATTTATTTTTCCTTCGACTCCTCTCTTATATTGAACCACCTTTTAGTTAAATTTCACATACAGTGTGAAAATGAGCAATAGCTTAATCAAGCTAATAAATAAGTACTCTGATGTCCTGTGTCCCTACCAGAATAACCTACCATCTCCGTAGGTTTTTATTGTTAATGACTTTTATAAAAAGAGTCTAGAAATAATATTTTTTTAATTTATTGGTTTCCTTTTTTTTTTTTTAATAAGTCACTAAATGAGAAAACTGATTGTTTTGAACTTCTATACTTGATATCCTTTTAGATGCTTTCCACTGATTTCAGAAATTACACAGATTTTACAGTTTCCTCGAATGTACAGAAATACAGCTATTATAAGCTGATAAACCGTATGATACTTCATTATTATGTACTTTATAATCTTATATACGTACAATTCATCATCACAAAACTGTGCCTCAACCCTATTATGCTCTGTCCCCACTATGCCCCAAACAAACTGTACTGGCTTTTTCCTATGGGAACTACCTATTTAATTACAATCGGTCTCCAGATATCTTAATAATTTTCAAACAACTCTTCCAGAGTCGAAAAATGATTTTCTGGAATCTCTAAATTTTTATCGAATTTCTTGTTCCTATATAAGCTGTTTCACACATACATATATCACAAAGAATTGTATACCTTCCATCTTAACTAAATAAACAATCAAAGAATTCTTTATGACAGTTCATGAGCGTCTCTAAAAATTGAATACAATATTGCTGTTCCGTTAAACCATATCATTACTATCTACGGTAACCACATAATGTCTAATTAAGCTTGTATTAGGCACTTGTTGTGTTTCATACCCACTTTAGTGAGTTAACAGAGTTAACACGGCACATTATCTGAGTTTGTGAATCAATCATGAAGGTACCTTTTCTGTTTTATTATACACTGGCATAGAATTTTTGGGTTGATTAAACTGTTGATGATATTGTTTTTTAAATTATACCGACTGATTGAATTGTTGACACATAAAAAGATAATATAATATTAGAATAAAATTTATAATAATTGAACATAATAACATTCTTTTACCATTTAAATTCAACAATTATTTCGGTCTATTCAGTATTTAGTTTCGATGCGATAGTTGAGAAGGCCACTTATACATTAATAATTTTCTGATTTAAAGTTCTGTATAATAATATATTTAACATTTTGACTTATTTGGTACTAATAATATTAGGAATATTTGGAATATTGGATAATTATTTTATACAACGCTAACCTACATTTTTTTTTGCAAGTGAGATATTTTATCCGGCTCTATTGTTTTTAAGAAACATGAACGTTCTGTTATTTTACAAATAACATTGCCTTTTGCGCCATACTTTAATAAAACTGTTTCAATATAGTATGGATAACACTTGTTAAATAATGTATATAATATATCTTTAATTTTATTCGACACAGAATGCTTAACAAATTAATTAATTGTTAATGTTTTTTTAAAAAACGGCGTCCTACTTAAACTATGGGTTATAATAAGGACACAATAGATTTCTAGTTGGAAGAACTAAGTAAATAATTGGACCAACTAAATGTTTACAGGAACAAATTTGTATTTAGTTATTACAACTATAAATTAACTGTACAGAGATCTTTATAGAGATCACAAAGTATATCTTTTGCCCAATATATTTTGTTATTTGGACGGGTTTTTTCATAAGAAACTTATTCATCAATGACTTTCTGACTTGAGGCTCTTTATAATAATATAATTAACTTTTTTACTTATTTGGTACTAATAATATTAGGAATATTTGGAATATTGAACAATTATTTTTTACAACGCTAACCAAAATTGTTTTTTTGCTTACGAATTATTTATTTAGCGCTAGTGTTTTTTAGACACATGAACGTTCTGTTGTTATACAAATAACATTGCCTTTTGCGCAATACTTTAATAAAACTGTATCAATATAGTATAAATAACATTTGTTAAAAAATGTATATTATATTCATTTAAATTTTATTCGACACATAATGTTTTTCAAATTAATTAATTGTAAATGTTTTTAAAAACAACGGTCCTACTTAAACTAACATTAAGTTCAAAAAGATGAAAACTTTTTGGGTGTTTTTCTTGTTTTTGAAGAGGATTTTTTGCCCACTTATGTACATTTTAGGTTCGATATCTGATATAGTGTTGATACACGAAGAAATCGGTCCAGCGGTTTAAAAATATCGTGGGTCTTAGCAAACAAAAAAAAAACACATATTGTAAATCAATCCCTTCTCAGCTCCACATCGAAGCTAAAAAAAACATGAAATCATTCTCAAATAATACTCTTTGAAGCAAATCCGTAGATAGTATCAAATATTGATAAAACTCATTGTTAAGGTAATAATGAGTTAAAATTATAGTTAGAGCATTACAGTCGTAAATATAAATAATAATAGTCCTAATTAATTAATTAGAATGGAAATGATAAATATCTAATTGGAGGAACTAAATAAATAATTGGCCCAACTTAATGTTTACAGGAACAAATTCGTATTTAGTTTTTTCAACTATAAATTTACTGTACTCTTAATGCATATAGGTAATAGCCATATTTTAGTTGGATTAAGTTTGTATTAGGTCAGAAAGAAATGTTTTGTTCATTATTTGTTTTAACCATAATATTGAACATAATTTTTTAAATAATTTAAAGGCCCCTGTCGGTAAAACCCAAGTAATAGACCCTATTGTACAAAATCCCAACATGCATTAATCCTACGCCAAAATAACTCAACAATCTTACTATAATAACACTACTCAAACCAAAATACAAATGCTGACAAAGATTTTACTAAAAACCTTTTTTCATTTCTATCTGATCTCAAATCTTTAATCAACCCCATAATATACTTGTTAACAACAGTTATAACTAAAATTATTTTTAAATGTCTAATGATTCCAATCTTAATAAAAATTCTCTGAAAGTGCTTCATTAGAATGCTAATGAACTTCAACATTATAAAAATGAATTACAAACTATATTAAACGACAATTATATTGACATAGCTCTAATTAGTGAAACACACTTTACTGAAAAATCATACTTTAGCTTATACAAATATACTTCATACAAAACTAACCATCCTGATGGCTCAGCTCACGCTGGTAGTTCTATTTTAATATCAAATTCCATACAACATATCAAAATCAGACCGTACCAAGAACCACACATTCAAGCGACAAGCGTGTCAATAAAAATTAATAATGTTCCAATTACTATTTCGGCAGTCTATTGTCCTCCTCGTTATAATATACGTCAAGTTGATTTTCAAAATTTTTTCGACACGTTAGGTCATTTATATATAGCTGGTGGAGACTTTAACTCAAAACATTTTTTATTGGATGTTACTGGAATAACCAAAAAAGAAAATTCCTACGTTCATTAATTACCAATAAACATTTTTCATTTAATTCTCGTTCAGGTCCAACTTAAGGGTCAACTCATGCCAATAGGCATCCCAATATTCTTAGTGCCTAATACCCAGTTTGGATTTCGTGCCAGTCACTCTACATTTCACCAAATCCATAGATTGACATATACGATCGCTTCAGCATTTTAAAACAAGCAATATTGTACTGGCTTATTTCGTAATGTCGCACAAGCGTTTGATATATTTGGCCCAGTGGTCTACTTTACAAACTGAAAAAATATTTCCAGTCCGTATATGTATCCCTTAAAATAAAACTATACTTCCAAGACAGAAAATTTATAGTCAGAAAAATTTGTGCTTATTCACCTTGCTTTTCTTACACGTTACTAGCTACTTTTGTTGACGATACAGCTATATTAAGTTGTCACAAAAATATAAGCGACGCGGCTCACTATTTACAACTACGATAAAAATCTGTGAGACATGGTTTAGGAATAAAAATAAATCCAGTCACGTTACCTTTGCTCTCCGTCATGAAACTGTCCTGCTGCAATACTCAACAACACAGTTATCACTACTCCAAATGAGACAAAATATCTTGGTTTAATACCAGACAAATGTCTAACCTGGGGACCTCACATCAAAGAATAAATTAAAAATTAAATATTATTATATTGCATCTTTTCTGCCGGATTCTTAAATCCAAGCTGCCACTCAAAACTAAATTACTTATACATAAGTCAATAATACGACCAATATGGGCTTATGGAATTCAAATATGGAAACCTGCCAAGCCTTCAACAATAAGACCAATACATGCGTTCCCAAATATAACACTACGAATGGTCACAAATGCCCCAGAGGGTACCAAACGTTACTGGAATAGCGACCTACTAATATAAAATAAAAAACTTAATAACATAACCGCACTTTACATATAGAGTTGTTACCAATGGATGGCTTCCCTTTCAAGGCATTTAAGCTTTGTAATATAACTTAGAAAAAAAACTTACTGTACATATTTTTGTATAGGTTGTTTTTTTGTAAAGTAAAAAAAACAATTTTTTTGGTGTCTGCTAAAGTTGTTTAAATGATATTGTATTGTTAACAAGTTTATAATTATAAATTAATACAATTTTTTAAGTATTAAATACTTTCATGCCATTTTGAAGAAATTCGTTTTTCAAAGTGCTTATAATTTCTGAATTCTTTTTTTTTTACTAACATCATATAAATGTATAAAGCTTAATCTGTATAATGAGTTACATTACATTATAATTATGGTTTTTTCCATTTAGATCGAAGTCTTTCACAATAAAAACTTACGGGGACGGTAGTTTGTTCTGGTAGAGATACGAGAGTACTTATTTATTAGCGTATAATTAGCTATTGCTCATTTTCACACCGTAAGTGGAACTGTATTAAATGATGGTTCAATATTATAATATAATAATAATGCCAATTGTCACTTTTATTCTATTAAAACCATTTGCTACTATTACAGAAATAAAAAATATTTTATGAACAAAAATCTAAGTATTCATTTTACTTCGAATGTTAACACAAGAAAATTTAATGATTGCTATAACATGCTATTGATACAGTGAATGCATATTTAACAATCAGTTCTGTTTTCGGTTTATTCGATTTTAACCATAATGGGATTTATAATTTTCTACTTTTGACCAACTAAAGTACCAACCACATACGTTATAAAAATGATAGATATATTAATCGAGTAGGTTAGTTTACGGGGAAAAAATTATCGTGACTTTAGACTAGAAAAAATCTTGACAAAACCACTACGGTAAATTTACGATCAATCGGTATAATTTGGCAAAAAATGTCATAAACAATATTATTACAAACCAATAACTCAGTACATAATAAACAATACATAGACTCAAATTATTCTTGTATCCAATGGTCAAAATATATTATTGTATTCAATAAAATAATTATATTACACTCGGTTTATATTTATTTAAATTATAATTTTATAATTGTGAATGTTGTTATTATATTTAACATTTTCCTGATTGTTTTAGTCTAAATATTCGGACTTCTATCTGTAAACATTAAACTAATCGTAAACTTACCCTACACTAAGTGTAAACATAAGCCCCAATTGTGGAAACACTGTCTTTATGAACAATTCAATTTTTTCATCGAGTTGCATTTCAATACCCGTTTGCGTTTTTTTAACATTATCTGTGCGATTCCCTGTTAATATGGTAGACATCTGACAGTTTATTTTATTTAGTTCGTTTTTCATTTTTGACAAATTCTCCATGAAACTTTTCATTTTTATAAATAACTGTTCCTCAAGGCACACGTTCTCATTTTTGTTATAAAAGTTTGTCCCATAGAAATTTGTTATTTCAATAAAACTATTGAACATGGTTAGGATTTTCGAAATATACATATTTGTGTTCAGAGGAGATAACATTTGAAAATATAAATTAGCGGCTTTCATGTACTGTATAACTGGATCGCTTTTTTTGACTGATATCACAAAGGATTCGACAAAGACATATTTTACCTCAGGTATCATTCCCAAATTATAGATTTCTGATAAAGACGTGTAGTATAAAAATAAGTCATTTAATATTTCAACAAAGTAAGCGCTCATCAGGTTGTAGACGAGACGAATTTTATTGTTAATATTGTGCTTGTCGACTTCAGAGGCGAACAGATTTTTAACACCGTATTCCGTATTACCCTAATAATCTTCAAGTGATGCAAATAAAGTGCCCAGCCAGGCTCTTTTAGTATCATTTTTATTTGGTGAACTCGAGATTTAGAGTCGGTAATTTCATTTAAAACGGTAGCTTTTGATTCCGTTTTGAAACCCAGGAGTAAGTAATCCATTTCTAAAAACTCTTTTATTGCGTTTTTAATCAAAGGGTATATAATGCCCATTTTATCGACATGGCTGATCGCCTTGAAATATATTTCGTTAAGTTTTACGTCGACCGTGCTTAACTTGGAATCGCCAAATTTTTCTTTTAAAAGCGCCGCTGGACCACAGAAGTTTTTGAAAAAATTGATAGCGATTATTTCTAATCTGCAGAATTCCATTATAATTTTGTCTAATTTGTAATTAATAACAACGTCAGCTCCAACATTAGGTAAGCTGAACGGTTCGTACAAGTTACTAAATTCTTCCAGGATATCGAAAAAGGCGGTTTTTAACTCGGTTTCCCTAGTTAAGAAACTGAAAAACGATAGCGCACCTTGCATGCGCGACACAAAGGTTTCCGGGTTTAATAGCTCCATAAACTTTTGCAGACATTCCTGTTGAATGGAAGAGTCCATAAACGTGCATGCTGTGCCAAGTCTGTATAAATATGTTTGATATATTAGAAAATCAATAGTGTACTGGCAACTCAGTAAAAGTTGGACTTGTCGAACTTTAAGAACTGCGCTTTGGACTGTTATCTTGATTGGTCCTGCGGTATCGTCCCCAAGCACTTCGTTTATTTTGTACCTTCCACTGACGTCGACGATTTCCAGCGGAGGCAAACCACGCCATCCCGGATAACTCAGAAGTTCGGTCATCTGGGTTACGGTGGGTTCCGCAATCGAATCAAATACCATACTGCTGCATAGTACAAGAATCATCAAACCGCTTAAAAAGCGTTGATTTAGCATTTTTATATTTTGAAAAAATTTAAATCTCGAGTAACTACGAACTTTGAACGAATCACTGAGAACCGAACAATCCGGATAGTTATCTAGGTATGAAAAATGATTGTACGTGTTGGACTAGTTTTAGACCTTTACGCATATTATCGCGAATGTGTATAATGAAAATATTTTGTACACAAAAACAGTCAAAGTAAACACAAACGGTATGTTTGAACAATTCGACTGCTACTCACCTCCTCATCGCCACCTATGACCACCACCACCGACCGTATTAGATTATCGTGTCATGCTGCTTCAACAATTGCCTCTGTATCGATTGTTTTTATTTTCAACGCACCGTTTGTTTTTGGATTTTATGGAACATTTATTTTTCCTTCGACTCCTCTCTTATATTGAACCACCTTTTAGTTAAATTTCACATACAGTGTGAAAATGAGCAATAGCTTAATCAAGCTAATAAATAAGTACTCTGATGTCCTGTGTCCCTACCAGAATAACCTACCATCTCCGTAGGTTTTTATTGTTAATGACTTTTATAAAAAGAGTCTAGTAATAATATTTTTTTAATTTATTGGTTTCCTTTTTTTTTTTTAATAAGTCACTAAATGAGAAAACTGATTGTTTTGAACTTCTTTACTTGATATCCTTTTAGATGCTTTCCACTGATTTCAGAAATTACACAGATTTTACAGTTTCCTCGAATGTACAGAAATACAGCTATTATAAGCTGATAAACCGTATGATACTTCATTATTATGTACTTTATAATCTTATATACGTACAATTCATCATCACAAAACTGTGCCTCAACCCTATTATGCTCTGTCCCCACTATGCCCCAAACAAACTGTACTGGCTTTTTCCTATGGGAACTACCTATTTAATTACAATCGGTCTCCAGATATCTTAATAATTTTCAAACAACTCTTCCAGAGTCGAAAAATGATTTTCAGGAATCTCTAAATATTTTATCGAATTTCTTGTTCCTATATAAGCTGTTTCACACATACATATATCACAAAGAATTGTATACCTTCCATCTTAACTAAATAAACAATCAAAGAATTCTTTATGACAGTTCATGAGAGTCTTTAAAAATTGATTACAATATTGCTGTTCCGTTAAACTATATCATTACTATCTACGGTAACCACATAATATCTAATTAAGCTTGTATTAGGCACTTGTTGTGTTTCATACCCACTTTAGTGAGTTAACAGAGTTAACACGGCACATTATCTGAGTTTGTGAATCAATCATGAAGGTACCTTTTCTGTTTTATTATACACTGGCATAGAATTTTTGGGTTGATTAAACTGTTGATGATATTTTTTTTAATTATACCGACTGATTGAATTGTTGACACATAAAAAGACAATATAATATTAGAATAACATTTATAATAATTGAACATAATAACATTCTTTTACCATTTAAATTCAACAATTATTTCGGTCTATTCAGTATTTAGTTTCGATGCGATAGTTGAGAAGGCCACTTATACATTAATAATTTTCTGATTTAAAGTTCTGTATAATAATATATTTAACATTTTGACTTATTTGGTACTAATAATATTAGGAATATTTGGAATATTGGATAATTATTTTATACAACGCTAACCTACATTTTTTTTTTGCAAGTGAGATATTTTATCCGGCTCTATTGTTTTTAAGAAACATGAACGTTCTGTTATTTTACAAATAACATCGCCTTTTGCGCCATACTTTAATAAAACTGTTTCGATATAGTATGGATAACACTTGTTAAATAATGTATATAATATATCTTTAAATTTTATTCGACACAGAATGCTTAACAAATTAATTAATTGTTAATGTTTTTTTAAAAAAACGGTCCTACTTAAACTATGGGTTATAATAAGGACACAATAGATTTCTAGTTGGAAGAACTAAGTAAATAATTGGACCAACTAAATGTTTACAGGAACAAATTTGTATTTAGTTATTACAAACTATAAATTAACTGTACAGAGATCTTTATAGAGATCACAAAGTATATCTTTTGCCCAATATATTTTGTTATTTGGACGGGTTTTTTCATAAGAAACTTATTCATCAATGACTTTCTGACTTGAGGCTCTTTATAATAATATAATTAACTTTTTTACTTATTTGGTACTAATAATATTAGGAATATTTGGAATATTGAACATTTATTTTTTACAACGCTAACCAAAATTGTTTTTTTGCTTGCGAATTATTTATTTAGCGCTAGTGTTTTTTAGACACATGAACGTTCTGTTGTTATACAAATAACATTGCCTTTTGCGCAATACTTTAATAAAACTGTATCAATATAGTATAAATAACATTTGTTAAAAATGTATATATTATATTCATTTAAATTTTATTCGACACATAATGTTTTTCCAAATTAATTAATTGTAAATGTTTTTAAAAACAACGGTCCTACTTAAACTATGGGTTAATTTAGGGACACGATAAATTTCTAGTTGGAAGAACTAAATAATAAATTGGCCCAACTTAATGTTTACAGGAACAAATTTTTATTTAATTATTTCGTTTACAAATTTTGTTTTACCCCTAATCCCTATAATAACCAAACTTTTAGTTGGACCCAGTTTTTATTAAGCCAGTCCAACTAGAAATGTTTTGTACCTTTATATTATCTATAGTTTTAGCTGGACCAACTTTGTATTTTTGGAAGGCATTATTATTTACTTAAATTTATAGAGATCACAAAGTACATCTTTTGCTCAATATATTTTGTTATTTGGACGGGTTTTTTCATAAGAAACTTATTCATCAATGACTTTCTGACTTGAGGCTTTGTATAATAATATATTTAACATTTTGATTTATTTAAATTGAATAATATCAGAAATATTTGAAATATTAAATAATACAACGCTAACCAAAGTTGTTTGTTTTGCTAGCGAAATATTTTTCCGGCTTTAGGGTTTTTTAGAAAATCATCAAAGCGTTTATTTGAAAGTGATTTTATCCGAGAGGACTAGTACAGTATAGTATAGGCATAATGGAATAAAAGCATAGAGGGTACGGATAAGTCACAGGTCTACAGGAATTATTATAAATGAAAGTGATAAATCGGAATAATTATTTCTTTAACTGTACATTTGTGTGGTCTATCACCTGTATAACAAGCTCGTGGGTTTTCAGGGTAGATCTTTTGCTCAAAGTTTTGTCACAAACTGTACATTTGAAAGGCTTCATGCCGGAATGCACGCGCTTATGTCTTCCCTATGTAGATTTATATGAAAAAGATCTCGAGCAGACATCACATCTAAAACGGATTTTGTCTACTGAAGTATTCACATTACTACTGATGTCTGGATTTTTAATTGTTGTTTTTCGATGTGAGAGCTTAAATTTAATTTACAGCTATTAGATTTCGCAAAATGATGGGCGATAATTCTTTTTGTAGTGAGCCTCTTTTGACTCATATTACACTGAAACGACTGGGACTTATTTGAAATTGTCTTTGTATTTTTATCTGTTTTGTGCTTAGTCATAATATTGTAGCGCTTTGTATCGTCTATATTTGATGTTTTGACCTCTTTGTTGGAATGGCCCATAATATGAAGACTAAAAAAATTATGAGTTATATTAAATTAATATCATTATTACTGCTCGAAAATTCATGGATATTACTTCAAATAATATTTTTTTATGTAAATTTGCATTTGATATATTTTTATAAAAGTATAGACTTAATAATTTATATTATTAAATTGAAGGACCTAATTAACAAAAATTAATGTTAAATAATATATTATATATTCAATTCAACATGTAAAATAGTAAAACCTATTAAAAAAATCAGTAATGTAAAACGCGTGAAACATCAATTACTTCAAAAATAGTGATGTAAGACTGATTATCGACCATTCAACATATTTAGTACATTATTCTCAATTAAAAAAACTAATGGGATGTATACATTTTTATTCATGATTCAAAAGTCGATATTAAAATGAGTAGTTTGAAAGAGGGTTATAACATAACAATTTGTGAAAAATTAAGGTCACATTATATGAAGAAAATAAAATAAATTATTAATTAATCCCAGTGAGATATTGAATAATCCGTAATAAAAAATTACCTGAATTATAATTATATTTATTTCCAGATGATTAATGAGTAAAGTAAATAAAATCAATCTTAATTATGATAAAAATGTTATATAAAATCAATAACAATGATTTAAATTACTTTTGCAATATTGATCATTATCCTTATAACAACTAACAAGTTTGAAACTAAAAATTTGTTATTTCAAAAAGTTTTGCACACTTTAATAATTATAAATTTGATGAATTAGAATTTTAAATTAACATCTTAGATTACATTTCAGGATATTTTTTTAATTGGTGGAATAGACGGTTAACTACAATGCGATTGTTTTAATAAAGTTGTTTGGTATTATATATATAGTGGGTACGTAAGCAAACTGGTTGCTTAATATTCAATTTACAAATTATGTATGGTGTAGTTAATGGTCTATTTACGTGTTTTTCCCATTTGTACATTAAACAACAGTTGACTCAGTCGTTAATTACAATACGTTTAGTAGATACAATAAAATATGCATGTAGTACTCCGATTAGATTTGGTTAAAGCTTTGACCCAAATCGCAGATAAACACAACATTTTCGTATAAAAAATCATATTTTTTTATATTTCTTTACGATGATAAAAACATGTGCTACTTTAACGAATATGAGCCTATTAAAAGTAAATAACAAAGCATAAAATCTACTTGATAAATTGCTGTGAATCTCATATACCAAGCTAGGTAAAATAAAAATAGAGGGTATTCCTGATTCGTAACATAATATACAAACAAAAAAAAAAAAGATATAGGATAAATATTTAAAATTTTTTAAACAAAGAATAATTAGTTTCAAATTTAAATTGAGGAAGTCATCTTTACTTAAAACATAATAAATATTTTTGCCATCATTCTATGTCGATTTCCTATCATTCGTTCATAAGCCTTAAATAGTATCTAGCAAATTACTTTAGAGCATATTAGTTTAAGAATCTCCTT